CTTGAAATTAACATTTGAGTTCAACAACAATCATGAGTCGTTAGATGAGCAGCTGCATCTCCTCATCCTGGCCTGCCGAAAGCTATTTTACTTCAAAATCTGGGCTTTCCTGGATGTTAAGTTTGGGGAGCGGATCCTGAAGAGCCAGGAGGAGGGGCAGTGCTCCCTGCGCACACTAAAGGTAAGGACCCTTTGCTGCCTGCTTCGGTTGAAGCAGGGACTTCTAGAGTTGGCACTTCTGCTCTGATGCAGGTTGGATCTGCCCCTGAATCTGTCCATGGGAGATGGCCAACCCCACAGATAGGATCTGGAAGTCTCTTCCACTCTGTCTCCCATGGGTTCTACATCCACAAAGCCAGCCAGCTTTATGTCTTTACTGTGTATATTTTTTTAAGAATAACATCCACATTACAGTAGGTATTATAAGCAACCCAGAGATAATTTGCATGCACTGTTCCATTTTACATAAGGGACTTGAGCATCCGTGCATGCATCTTGGACTCCAAAGGGGGTCCTGGAATCAATCCCTCATGGGTACCAAGGGAAATCGTGCTTAGGCTTTTTCTGCCTCAACCATCAGTTGTGTGTGTAGATGCATGTGGATGACTGTCAGGCCTGAAGTAATGAAGTCAACATGAGTGTGTGTGTGTGTGTGTGTGTGTGTGTGGTGTTTCTTTATCGGCACAGGTGAGAATTTATTCAAACAGATATGAGACAAATGAAGAGGACAGGACCTTACGGGAAATTTACAGGAAATACAGAAAGCTGATCGATTCAGAACTTAACTATTTTGTCATCGCCTACCCCATGATGTAAAGAGCGCTCTCCAGAGGAAGACATCTAGACGCACTTTGAACCTGAAAAACTGGTTCTCAGTGAATTACATTTGGGACTCCCATGCCCTCACCCCTTTTTCTTCTCTCTCCTTTTTGCCAAATCCACACCCTCATGAACAGCCTGGCAAAGGCTGGGCTGCTGGTGATGGCAAGGCCCCAAGCGTCTTTAAAGTGCTATCTTTACCAACACTCCGGCTGCTTTCTTTTTGTCATTTGCTGTAATGTTTTGGTTTGGTTTAGTTTGGTTGGTTGATTGGTTTTGGTTTCAGAAATTCATACTCAGTCGCAGAGCAAACTCAAAATAGTTTTCTGCTAATGGAGTCTGACTCCTGCTTACCTGAATAGGTGTGACCAGCCAGTGGGACAAACTTTCTACCAACTGATTTTACCCATTTGGAAATGCTTTATAGCCGGGTGGTGGTGGTGTGCACCTTTAATCTCAACATTTGAGAGTCCGGGGCTGGTGAATGTCTGAGTTCAAGGCCAGCCTAGTCTATACAGAGAGTTCCAGGACAGCTGGGGCTACACAGAAAAACCCTGGAAAAACAAAACAGCAAAAACAAAGAAATGCTTTGTGTTCAGGCTGACCTTCATGTTAGAGCCTCCTGAGACTGAGGTTGTCTGGACCTGACCATACATGAACAGAACCCACCAGTATGTCCTGGCATGAAAGGACCATTCCCACTTAAGATAGAACTGCTCACAGAAAGAACTCGGGTGCTAGGTCATCAACCCTGTGAAAGACTCCTGCCTTAGTTCGGCCTGTGTCTCCTTTTAGTTTTCTATTCCGGTGACATTGTGTTCAGTCTGCTGTGGACACGCAAGTCCTCAGATGCAAAGACAGACTAGAAGTGGCAGTTACACCCATGTTTGTAATGAATCTGTAATGTAGTGTGTCCTGATGCTATTTGAAGAGGGAAAGAAACACAAAACTCTAGATTTAGAATTATATCTGTTATATAAAACACATGTAAAAACATTTTTAAAATCTATAAGAGACATAACAAAAATTGGAGGTAAAATTTTGGTGGGTATTTTTTTTTTGCCTTATGTTTTCCTTTGTTTTTCAACTTTTCTACAATGACAATGTCATTTTTGGTAATTAAGAATATGATCTAGTATGTCTCTGATCATGAGTGGGCACTGGGGCCAGAGGCTGGATCTCAGGTGGTTCTTTTGTTCCTTTGATGTCTTCTAAAGCTTCTTCATTTTTTTAAATTGACCTATCAGATATTAGATATCGTTATGGCACCATCAAACAAAGTGTTAATTTTTGCTCTCCCTCCCCTGTTCACCATCTCCAGGCTCTTTTCTTAAATCATGTGTTCTTTTGGCACCAACCTAACCCTCATCCTCATCATCACACATCCTTCTTTATTTTTACTCTCTTGGTCTCTTTTCTAATACCTTAAGTTTTGCACATATTTACCATCATTTACATATTCACATGTACACATTACAGGCTAGGATCCACATATGGGAGCAAGTGGCTTCAATCTTTCTGAGTTTGGGTCACCTTATTTAATATTATGCTTTCCAGATTCATTTATTTTCCTGTAAATTTCATAGTTTCATTTCAGTTTCATTATAGCTAAATAAAGTTGCTTTGTGTATATAAGCCTGTACTGCCTAGTTTTATGTCAACTTGACACAAGCTAGAGTCTTCAGAGAGGAGGGAGTCTCCGTTGAGAAAATGCCTCCATGAGGTCAGGCTGTAAGGCATTTTCTTAATTAGTGATTGATGGGGAAGGCTCCTGGCCATTGTGGGCAGTGTCATCTCTGGGCTGGTGGTTCAGGGTTATACAAGAGAGCATGAGACCAACCTAGGCCCTCTGCAAGTAGATGATAGTTGTGTAGTTTGATCTGTTTGTGAGAACCCAGGAGAGGGGCCAGGACCTGTCCCCGGCACATATTTCCTATGCAGGGATGTCTTGCCCAGCCTCGAGACATGGGGAGGAGCTTGGTCTTGACTCAACATAGTATGACATGCTTTGTTGACTCCCGTGGAAGGCCTGCTTCTTTCTGAACAGAAGAGTGTAGTGGATGTGGGGGGGGATAGATGGGAGGTGGGGGAGGGAACGGGAAGACAGGAGGGAGGGGAAACTATGGTTGGTATGTAAAATGAAAAAAATTTTAATAAAAAATGATGAAAGTAGACAGGCATTGGTGGTGCACACCTTTAATCCCAGCACTCGGGAGGCAGAGGCAGGTGGATCTCTGTGAGTTCAAGGCCAGCCTGGTCTAAAGAAAGCTGGCTGAACAAGCCATTGAGAGCAAGCCAGTAAGCAGCACCCCTCCATGACCTCTGACTCAGCTCCTGCCTCCAGGATCCTGCCCTCTTTGAGTTCCTGTCCTGACTTCCTTTGACAATGGACTATTATAAGGAACTGTGAGCAAAATGAACCCTCTCCTCCCTAAGCTGATATTGGTCATGGTGTTTCATTGTGGAATAGTAACCCCAACTAAGACATAGCCACACTTTCAAAGTCCATTCATCTGTTGACAGCCATAGAGATGGGTTCCATTGCCTAGATACCATGAATCAGAGCAGCAATAAACCTCTCGATTGTCAGATTATTTCTGGGATAACTGGGATAGATGGTTAGTTTGGGGGTCCACACCTTGCATCTGAGATGGGGCGATCAATATGGTCACACCCCCATCTAAGGGTGAACAGACTCAACTATGCTCTAGGCAGTAGGCTAGTGTTAGCTGCTGCTTTGCTTTGGGGCTCCCATTAGAATTTCTAGTCCACGCTTCTTCTGACCTTTCTCTGTGGCTTCTGGAGGCCGCAGCATCCTTGCATAACCAGTGGTTGTCAAGGCAGAGGAGGAGGCATGAAGAGGAGTCTTTTCTAGAATCCCAAGCCAGCTTCCGTCGCCCCCTTGGTCAGAACTGAGTCTAATAGCACCACTGCCTGCCAGGGCGAGCACACATTTTGCTCAGGGAGACCTGTGGGTACACAGGACTGTTGGGCTAGGCAGCCAGCAGTGGGATCTGTCTCCTCATCTCTGGGCTCAGTGCACTGCTGATCATCCAAAGAACTGTGCTGGTAGGGTGTGTGTGCACCAGGTTACAGTCAAATGCATCAAGATTTGAGGTGATCAGAAGACCTAAGAAAAAATATAGCTAAGAAAGAAAAATGCAAACATGCTCCTTTATTCATTCTTCCTAGTAGATTATTATTATTTTAAAAGCAAAGAGTCTTTTATTGTTGTTTAATGAGCTAACTGCATTAGCTTGGGCTCTTCATCTCTTCAGTTCATCTTGGTGGTGGCTGGAGAAGTACCCAGAGAAACCATGAGGCAGGGAACTTACAGGGCATCGTAAGGGGAACATCTAGGGGTATTCAACAGTTTCAGGATTGGTGCACTTTCTGCCTTGGACGACCTGTCCTGTTTTGATTGGTCACCTGGTGGTTATGGCCCATAGGCCCTCCGAGGGTGGTTGCTATGCTCTCTACATCATTGCTGTGCGCTTGTCCGTAAAGCACACCCAGGGATGTAAAGCATAGCGCCACCAGCTAACTTCTGATTGGTTCCTTGTCACGAGGCAGGCATCTGACTTTCTAGGACAAGGTCATAGAAGCACGTGTTCGGCCGTTATGGCTGCCAAAAAGGAAGCTGGTCCCTTCACTACAATACAGCCAGCTCACAGAATGGGGTTGGTAATGTCCCCTAACACTTGCCTTCTGCATTGGGAAAGCTAAGTCACTGATTGTGGTTCCTCCATACAAAAAACCTGTTGTGCACTCACCTGGGACCTGTGGTTACCAACCTTTTCCAAACTTTAGGCAAATTTAAACTTAGGGACTTTGAGTCATCTTGGGAAACTGATTCCCCGGGATTAAGACATTAAAGCATCAGGTCACTCCCTAGGACTAAGGTATTAGTCTCAGGTAAGATCCTGAAACTTTGCACTCAGACTCTGAATCGGACACCTGAGTCACAATGAGCCAATTACTGACCATGCCAGTTTTTCCACCCAGCATCACTCCTTGCTACTAAATTCTGCTATGGCTCTAAAAGACCAGTAGCCTACTTGAGTGTGAATCCTGTGTTTGGTAGCCTCCCAGGTCTACTTTTCCCTTTCATAAAATGGAAATAACAGATTACACTACTACACCTAACAAACATCCCATGGGTGTTATTGTCTGCATTATCAACAATATACATATAAGCCCTTCTTGGTTTGGATTTGAGGTTATAAAATACTTCCTAGGAGCTGGGTGGTGATGGCTCATGCCTTTAATCCCAGCACTCAGGAGGCAGAGGCAGGCAGATCTCTGTGAGTTCAAGGCCAGCCTGGTCTACAAGAGTTAGTTCTAGGACGGGTTCCAAAGATACACAGAGAAACCCTGTCTTGAAAAAAACAAACCCCCCCCAAAAAATAAATACTTCCTAGGGATCCAAATACCCCCAATTTTTTGCTATTCTAGAAACAGTTTAAGCCCCCTTTAACCCCTTGACTTTAATCTGCTATACCACTATGTGGAATGTCCCCTCCATGTCCACCAAGTCACATCTATTGGTTGAGATCACACTCAAGAGTGGCCTTACCCCTATCCCACACTCCCAGCCTGCTCCTCTAAGTCAAGCAGCTCTTTGTGTCAGAGCCATGAGATCTCACTGAAAGTCAGTGATGGAGGGGTGGGGGCGAGTCCCCAGGTCCACTTGGTACCTGCCCCAGGACTATTGGGCAGGGCTAGGGTGACTCCCTACAGACAGGGATGGTCAACACAAGGCGATTGGGGGTCTCTCAGAATGCAGGGGCTTCAGAAACTTCCTGCAGCAGAAGAGGAGCTCTAGAGGTGGGGCAGTGAGTCTGTTCTTGTCGCTTGGTCTTGGTACACTGGCTGTCACTTTTTCTCTCTCATTAACTGGCTTTCAGTTCACATAACAGACAACAGCTGCCATCCATGCTCCAAAACCTCTACCCAAGAGAGCAGCCAGGTGGAACGGAGGTTTTTCTTCCCAAATCCAAATTCCTCAGGAGAGGGTCTGCTTGACCCAGCTTCCATTAGCAGCCACTCCTGACCCAGTCAACTGTGGTGGGAAGCAAAGGGGGGAGGGCTGGAGGGCTACAGGGTCAAGTGGCGGAGGAGGGAACTCTCCACAGCAGAGAACACAGCAAGATGACAGTCCTGCAATGTCCCCATACACCATCTGATCTCAGCAGAGCCATTCACGGTGTGCCTGTCATCACATATTGGTTAAAGGAGCAAATAGATAGAGACTTCTAGAAGTTTCAACTAAGAAATAGCATCTCACAGAAAGGACTTCGGAAGAGGACCTTGGCATCTGCTTCCTCTCCAGGGTCCTTTAGCTACTCTCCATCTCTGTTTCAGTTTCAAACCCAGGCTGTGAACAGCTTAGCTGCCAGGGAAGGCAGGCTTTGTCTTACAGATGTGACTATAGAGCCTCCTGTATGCACTGCATGGTTCTCAGAGAAGAAACCAGTGGGAGTCAGAAAGTGACCACAGGGACAGCTGTCTGGAGACTCTGTGGGGACCTGAGTTTTGAAGCTTTTTTTTTCCCCATTCCTCTCTCAACTTCTAGCTCAAGCTAAGAATATCCTGGCTGGATAGCTTAAGAATGAACATTTATAACCTGGCAGTGGTGGCACATACACTCTGGAGACCGAGGCAGGCAGATCTCTGAGTTTTGAGGTCAACCTGCTCTAAAGAGCAAGTTTCAGGATGGCCAGGGCTACACAGAGAAACCCTGTCTCAAAACAACAACGAAAGAATATAGATACATGAAAAGAGATTGTAACTTGTCAAATAGGTCTTCCTGGGTGTGAAGGAGACCTGAAGCCAGAGCTGTCACTCTGT